AGATAACAATGGTTTCTCTTGATCTTCAAAGCGTGTGTATGACAGCTGGTCTTATAGCTTCATCTGATGCTTTCTGCCTACTATTGCTATTCCTTCCTCAGCTGCTAGATATTACATAGAGATGTACTTTTATTCAGGTTAGTATTGCCAGGTTACCATCATTGAATAGGGCACAACATACATCAAAGGTCCAGGCATTAACCATAGGTAGAGAGCTTGTCCAGTTTTACCTGACCACAAGGGTCAGGACAAGGTCATTAGGTTGACCACCTGGAAGCAGGTGGCAGTCCCAGGAACCTGTCCTCGTTATGCAAGTTGTACCTGTATACATGTACGTAACTTTCACAGGTGTTGTTTAGTGTGGGTTTGTCTTGGAGGAAATACTGATAGTATTGTGGTTCATTGAGGATTGACTGGGTTGTTTTAAAGCGTGAAGTACCTCTGGAGCGCCCCATGCATGCATTTATGCTGGATGATAACACTCCTTTCATCCAGCTGTTATACATAACACTACAGTCTGTAGTGAGCTGTGGACCAGAGGGAGTCATGGTGTGTTCTCTCTGTGTGTTAGCAGTGACCAGACTGTGTGACCCTTGTGAGGGGTTAGGTGGTCCAGGCTGGAGCTTTCTTCACAGCTGTGCATCCTTGCTAGATGGTGGTTAGTGAACACAGAACAAGTCCCCAAACCACCTGCATGTTGTCCTAGTGCTCCAGTTGTCTACTGCTTCCACACAGGTAGAGCTCCGTAAAACAGCTGTCACTCTCTCAGTCACTGGCAATTGAGCTTATATCCAATGGATTGTGATTGCTACTTCTTTGGTGTAGCTCTGCCTTTGTGTTGATAGCATTGGCAAAACAGGACTCCAGCTTTGCTTGTCGTAATGGCCACTGAAGGTGGTAAGCCTCAAGTACTTTGTCGATTGCTGTCAAACGCTAACTGTGTGTTATGTTGCTGATGCTGTCATCGACCCTGCTTTTCCAACAAAGACTCTGACTATTGCCAGGCTGCCATCATACAGCTAAAACAGTGTTGGTTGTGGTTAAGACAACTAAGGAACACACTCCTCAGCTCTGTTATATGCTGGTAATATGTTTCTTTCCTATGGTGAAGATACATAGAATTTCTTTTTTCTTCCTGACGTCCTTATTGTGATACACTTCATTTCAAGAGGGAAACCAGTGGCCCAGTGGTTTAAGTGCTGCATATGTTTCTTCCCTTAGGTGCCAGGCACCACTGGCCATGTGTTTGAATCCCAGGTTCACCCTTACTATGACTCTGGGTCTGCCAGGACATCAAACTGCACCCCTGATGTCTCCCTCGTGACTCAGACATACATGAGGAAGAACAGTTTAGCAGTGACCCCCAGATCACTCACTCGCTCATCTGCTCACTGTGTCTCAGTCCCAGTTGTTGACCCTCTCGCAGTCTTTATTTACACAAAACATCTTTAATAAACATCAGGCAACAAACTGTCCACCTCGTCATTGTCTGTCATTCTTTACATGACATTCATCAAGATCGGCAACTTCACCTATATATACAGTACACTACTTTATAGCTGTCGACATTCAGGATAGACATTGTGTGACAAATGGGAACCATATATAAGTATATGAAAAGTCCATTGTAGAATACAAAGGCTGGAATCTGTGGCCGAGAGATTTAAGTTTGTTGGGTGCAAACTTTTGACACCAACCTAATCTGCTTGTGACCTAGTTGTTATCAACACAGAAGATATTGCTTAATTCATTTCATCTATTGATTACATCTCAATCTCATTAAAATCAGATGTTAGTTTTCACTACCGCTAAACAAAGATCTGAGGACACCCCATTACAGGTCACATCAGAACGACCTTTCACAAATTTTGACCGACCAATGAAATGACTGACAAGAAATCGACATTAGCCAATCAGAAGGCAGCTTTCTTGAGCTTTACGACACTAGTTTCAAACTGTCGACTACGCTTCGAAACATATTTTGACGTATTCTAAATTACAAAAATTAAAACTGATAAGAAGAACATTCTGGAATGGCTTACAGATGGCCTAGATTGTATGGATATAATCATAAAACCGTAACTGTCATTCGGAATACCCCGTGTTAAATATTTCGTGGTTGCATGATCAGAAAACACATTCCAACTGTCACTTTCATGATCTGGTAAGCGACGCTCTGATTGGTTGGATGAAAGGTCGTTGTGACGTGACCCTTAATGGGATGTCCTCAGATCTTTGTTTAGCAGTAGTGAGAACTAAGATCTGATTTTAATGAGATTGGATTACATCTTTACCAATCAAATTTCAATTTTTGAAACAATCTCCCTTTAGTTGATGTTACTTAGATATTATGTGAAAACCTGATGCAGGTGAGCGCTTCTCAGTTTTGTCAAAGTTAGAATTAGAATTGATTGGCCATAATTATGGCTTCTGGACCCCCATATCCCCTGTGACAACAATATTACATAATTAGTTTTTATTTATTTGACTTCCTGTATACAAGTTGACCCCTTCCTGTGGTATTGGCATACACATGAACGTGACTGGCCTTCACAGCACTGCCCTTCAATGACCTAGTCCGAAGTATCTGCTCTCACTTGGTCATGTGTGCATAGTGTGACACTCTGTAGGTAGGCCCACTTTTATCTGATATATGACGCATCATTGATGACTTTTATTACTGAAGATGTAAAAAGCAACAAAATACTCACATTATCTGAACAATGTTATACTTCTTAAACCAGTTAAAACAGTTAAAATGAATAAGATTGAATAAGATTGGATTGTCAGATGCATCACTGAAATGTGCAATAAACGTATACGACTATGAGAATAACTAACGAGCTTTGAGGAATTACGGTTATCTCCTGAGGAGTGTAGCAAATGGGGGAACTAGGACATTAATTCGCTCGGGAAAGATAAACCATAATATTCTGAGTTTGTTCTTCTCTTTCTTACCCATAATCAAATTGAGTGCAAACGTCTCCAGATCATAATACCTGACATGTTCAAAACTTCCAGCAGCTGTAACCCAAAAGAAATGTCTCTACATAACAGTAAACAAGCGACCTCTTCACGACACATCCGATTGTATAAAATAGCCCGCTATGGCTATTCAATTTGGTATATTTGTATCAGTTTCACTCCTACATGCAGCATGTGACGTGTTGTTGCATTGAATACATTAACTTTGCCATATGTAAATTTAGAGTTTTAGAATTGAACATTGGTAAGTGAGAGAATGTCACTTGAAGTTGGCCACGGTTGCTCAGTGCCCAGTTTTCAAGCCTTCGTACATTAAACAACACCAGAGGACTGGAGGATGCATGGTTAAGTGTGGAATATTTATCATCAAGTTACTGTTTGTTATTCAGAATCAGAATCCAGAATTCTTGAGATCTTGTTCTCCTTCCACATCAGCCTGTGGATGATGGACTGAAAGAACGAATGAAGGAAAATAGTACCAGTGACCAATGAAAAGCCAAGTTATTCTTATAGATCCCCATTTCACTCACTAATTGATGACCTGGCTGTACTAGTGTGTTGTTGAACCCCAGTGATGTGTCTTGAAGCTTCGTGCTTGTCGCCGCTCTGATTGCACTTCTGTATATTGCTGCTTTATGTACCTGGTACACCCATTTCCTCACTCAAACCTCAGTTTATTTCTGGACCATGATATGGGATCACACGAGTCAAAGGTTACCATCAAAGATCAATAATTCAGCCATTAGACCGAGCTATGAACTTAACAACATTAAACTGTTCCCTAAAACTATGACACAAACACTGGATGATTATAATCTATAACTTGAAATCTTATTGCCCCCTTGACAATACCACTCAGCCATTAACCAAGTGTATGCAAGAGCTGAATATACACTGATGTCAGTTTAGGCTCCCAGAACAAGGACAGGCTTCATTAACTGTATACCCCAACCTTACCTGTCATTGTATGTAAATGCCAAGGGCGAACATAACCAGTCACACATTACCTGTTGTACATTAAATGCCTGTTGTCTCTATGGTAATCAGCAGTTGATAGACACAAGGTACATGATGACCCACCTCTCGTCCTGCGCTAGTGTTACTTACTTGCGAAAACTTGTTGGACTATGTTTATCAAATACCTTACATGCTAGGTCAACATACTAGGTCAACATGCTAGGTCTGGCACTATGGGACTGGAGTGTTCCCCACCATCGTGGTGCAGGAACTGGGACTATGGGACCAGAGTGTTCCCCACCATCAGGGTGCAGGGTCTGACACTATGGGACCAGAGTGTTCCCCACCATAGTGGTGCAGGGTCTGAGACTATGGGACCAGAGTGTTCCCCACCATCGTGGTGCAGGGGGAGATTCATACACAACACACAACAATGGTGAGATTCATGATTGCACACAACATGGCATGGTGAGATTCATGAAGACACTTAACAGCTTGGCATGGTGAGATTCATGAAAACATACAACAATATGGCACGGTGAGATTCATGAAAATACAACAATATAGCATGGTGAGATTCATGAATACACTCAACAATATGGCACGCTGAGATTCATGCACAACATTTAACAACATGGCATGGTAAGATTCATGAATACACTCAACAACATGGCATAGTGAGATTCATGCACAACACACACCATCATGTGGTGACAGCATCATATCAGAAGCTTCAATACATGGGAGATTTACAAAGGCTGTTGTATTTTTTCATGTGAAATATCAGATAAGGAAACTGTTCAGCAGCCTGGAGTTCACATGAAAATTAGGTCTACTGTTTAGCTGGGCCATAATAATAAAGTTTACCTCCTGACTCACTGACTTGTTTTAAATTCCCCTGTAGGGTTGTTTCAGGGAATAATTATTCCTCGTACCACTTGTTTGTCTTGTAACACATGCTGCATTGTCTCCCTACCTACTCAACTATTCATGATCTTTCCATCAGTGCAATTATTCATCAGCGGAGACTGATAATCATTTGTCTGTCTTTCCTTCAGACCACCCATCGGTTCACTGTCAACCTGCCTCACAACCAGAAGATGGTGACTCGGATCAGCCCTGAAACAAACTTGGGACAGCTGTATGCTCATGTATGCAAAGAGAAACATCTTGACCCCAAACGTTTCACTTTCCAACACCCCACCAACCATCATGTCAACCTTGACCTAAGGATCATAACTGTGGGTGACCTCAAGAGCAATGAAATAAATCTCATCCCTTTGGGTAAGTGAATCTAGTCTTAATAACAGGTCTGTTTTTTAGAGAACTTTTTATTTCAAATTTTGAATACATAGCTTGCTATTTGTCAGTATTAGTAATTGTTACAGATTAAAGACAGTCATGTTCGCAACACTGCAGCCTTAAGTTACAAGATTAATATGCAGAGCTTCAGATAAGCTGCATATATGTGAAAAATATACACAAGATATCCTCTTTACCCAATTAGTTTAGTTGCTTGCGTACAAATATGTATGACATAATTGACACTGCATAATTACCCACTGTTGCCTCTTCAATGTAGATCAGCCTTTGAAGCAGAATTATGTTAAAAAAGAGGTTCACACATTGGTATAAAATAGACTGGACCCAAAGGGTTGAAAATATGTTGAATAAGGACAGAGGTCTTAAGACAGATGTTGGGACAAGTTCTAACGTTTGTAAAGTAACAATGTGATTCTTGGGGGTTGTCAAGGTAACAAGCTACTGAGAACCCAAGGTAGTGTATTACCCACACTTCACATGGAAATGCTTGCTTGTGATTTGAGGTGACACTGTAGGGATCTGGATGTTGAAGTACTTGCATCCCCACTGTATCGTTACCTGGCTATTGTGTCATTGTTGCACACACTGTTGACCATTAGTCTGGCCCAGATCAGTCGACACTGCAGGCATGTTGTTACATAGTGGTAGAACGTCTCCACATACTCATGACAAGGGATGTACAGATAGCCTAGTTGTTAAGGTGTTTGCTCCTTGGCCCAAAGTTGTAAGTTTCATTCACCACACTGGAACTATGTGAAGCCAATGTTGGATGTCCCCATACCTGATGTTGTTTGAATGTTGCTAAAAGGAAAAACTTTTAAATAATTCTAATTTCTAAAAATGTTTAGGAGGGATCTTAAAGCAAGTCCATTGAATTATCTGTTTTAATTGTTTGGGGCATTAATGACTTAAATGAAGTATTCGTTTTACTTTTTCTATGAACATGTTTGAGTTTTATTGCCTCCATGACTGGAGGTATGGAATTAGGTCACATCAGTTTAATCCAAGGTGAGTGTTTGGTGAGGCAACATTTGGAAGGGACAATTGATTATGAGTCCATTAAAATCTCCTGTGCAGCAGTCAGTAAGTTTATTGTCAAACATGATATTTGTGATACCTCTTTGACGATATAACAGAAGGCATGTTGAAGTTCATCCTTGAACTTAAGATCAGCATTATGTTGGACTTGCACCCAATGGGGCACCTGTAGAGTCAACAATGATTATTGAAGGATATGGCAGTTTTTAAGCACATCGTCTGTTTGACTTTTTGGTCAAGGACCAGTCATTATAATCTTCAGCACCTTAAGGTTCATGAAAGTGCTCTGGATTTTTTTGCATTTTCCCAAACGGCGATCAATAGTATTTTTCATGCATATATTCAGAATAGCCTTCATTTATTGAAATTTGATTAACACTGACTTGGTCCAGCATGTACCCTTAAACAAAAGAATGACTAACTCACAAGAGAAGAAGCTTTGCACATGTTTTTCTTTGACAATGTAAGAATTGATTTCTTCTGTAATCACTGCTCTATCCTGTTCTGCTGTACCAGGCACACTAAGGAGACCCAGGGCTACATTAAGAAGCCTCATCCTTTTCTCACCCTTTGAGGTGGAATCTAATCATACATCTAATCATAACCTTGTCACATGACAGTGATGCATTGTACCCTTGTTGCGTAAACTACGGCCTTATATTAGTTCAGATGAGATAGCAGTTTAGTATTTATTGAAGGAAATTTTAAACATACAAATAAATAAGAACATCACAATGCTAAATGTGGCACTTGTTAATAGATGCTCAACAATCATTTATCACGAAACTTATAAGAAAACCTGGTACCAGCTGGTATGAATGAATTCCGGGTCCTGTTTCTCAACATCGGCAATCTTAGTCGGGAGCAAGAAGGAAGAAGTTGATACTCCGATATCGCTTATCGCTTGACATTTTATTTGCTTTATCAATTATTTGCTGCTCATAAATACTTCCGATGTACTGGAGAGATCATCTTCCCGAAGCAAGGGAGTTAACTGACTGTATAAGTCCAGTTTCCACCCTTGCCGAACTAGGCGTCAATTATATAGTTATATTTTGGATGGACTAATGAGTCTATAGATAGTCCAATCAAAATCAACATGGCGACAGATTTTGGTCAATTGCAGGATTTGCAGAGCATGTGTGCCGTCAACTCGGCATCGACAGATACTTTCAAAATCTTTTCATGTTTTTAACAAAGGTGCTCAAGTGATTTGATGCACTTCGCGAGGTAAGACCCATTTTATTACAATAAAGGTCTTGATTATCAATCAGATCATCTTGATTTGGTGCCGCCGTTTTGTTTGAAGCAAATGCAAAACATATGAGCGATGTGATCTGATTGGTCAACAGGAGGGACATAGAAGGGACATAGAAGGGACATAACTCGTAATCGCCACTGGTGGTGCTACAATCAAGCCTGGAAATATTCCAGTCTAGTTCGGCAAGGGTGGAAACTGGACTCAGTAAACTCCCTTGCCTCAGGTAGATGTAGAGTGAGTGAGTGAGTTAAAGTTTAACGTCACATCAGCATTACTTCTGCCATATCGTGACGTGAAGATGTGGAGTGAGTGAGTGAGTTAAAGTTTAACGTCACATCAGCATTACTTCGGCCTTATCGTGACGTGAAGGTGTGGAGTGAGTGAGTGAGTCGAAGTTTAACGTCACATCAGCATTACTTCGGCCATATTGTGACGTGAAGATGTGGAGTGAGTGAGTGAGTTAAAGTTTAACGTCACATCAGCATTACTTCGGCCATATCGTGACGTGAAGATGTGGAGAGGGATGCCAATGATTTTGCTCGCCATGTTACAGATTTTGAAGAGTTTGCTGTTGTTGCATTCTATTCAAGGAGTTTATCGCTATTAAGGTTTAGGTAATTATTTATAAAGCTTGGACATTTTATCTACATCCTTAAACAGGCTGTACATTATGTTGATATCTCATATAAGAAATAAACTACTCATGGTTGTTGTTTATCATACAATAAAACGCTGCAGGGAGAAAAAACCAATCAGAACTGCGCCCTTCATCGGGCAGTGTTTTATTGTACGATAAACAACTCCCACTCCCTATTTTCTTCTTAAATTAAAAATTGCTTAAAAACATTATAATGCAAGCAAGCTGAGGAAACTGACTACGTCCAATAATTTTTTTGTGAAACTGTCTAGTTATAAGGAGGCTGATGGGGTCAAGTGGTGTAAGGCAGTGAAGTTTACTGTTACACGCCTTGGCTACGTTCTTCTGCTCCTGGGTTCGGAGCCCGTATTAACCAAAATTATGGTCCATTGTTTGCCAGCACCATACACAAAGCTCTGTGGCTTGTGTGACATACATCTAAGATGTCCACCACTTTTGGCTTCCCTCCCATGGAAGTTGACACATCACGATGTGGGTTGGTGGTCAAAATAAACGTAAATTCAATGTGATTTAATTTTTAAAGTATAGTCAGTCAGTTGAAAAACCTATCATAAAAGAAAAAAAGTGACTCATGGGGAAGAAGTACTACCAAAATGTTAAGTGCGTCTGCAAACTTTTATTTTTTTTCACATTGTGTATGAAATTTGAGGTTGACAGATCTGTTGACTGACTTGTTCTGTGTTGTAGGTTTAGTTGCTGACTCAGCACGATCGATGCCAGACCTCTCTCGTAGTGAGTCCCTAACTCTGCCTAAAGAATCCTTCCCTTCCTACATGCCAGGGGCATCAGAACCGAAGAAGAAAAGAGGTTTCCTTTCATTCCTCAAAAGGAAGGATAACAAATTTAAATTGGTTTGTATAAATTTGCTTCATACTTTTATGATAATCATAGACCTATAAAAAATGAGCTATAAACTTAGGAGCAAGAAACACAACTAATGCAACCTGAGGGTTTTTCAGAAAGATGTATGTAGTGTAGGAAGGGAGATAACTCTTACTTGGACATGTGCTGATATGACTTCAGTATGTTTGCTGCTGTTACTTCAATGAGCAACAGAATATAGCATGTGCAGCCAACTGAGGTCATGACATGTAAACTTGAACACCCTTTCATCATCTGCCCTTGTGTTCTAGTGGGAAAACAGTACTAAAAATGATATGTGAGGGTTCGAGTCACATCATGGAATTTTCATGTGAAACAAATTGTGGAATTTGACCAGTCAAAAATCAACAGTGGATGCATATAAAGAGATTTATTGTACAACTCAACTGTAAAACCTCCAAGCAAGTCTTACAATTCAAATTTTAAACCCCTCATCAGGTCTCACTTGAAAGTAGTTTGTTTGTTTGTTTGACGCCGTTATTAGCAATATTCCAGCTATATGATAGCTGTCTGTAAATAATCGAATCTAGACCAGACAATCCAGTGATGGACATCATGAGCATTGATCCACGCAATTGGGAAATGATGACACATCAACCAAGTCAGCAAGCCTGACCACCCCATCCCGTTTGTCGCCTTTTACGACAAGCCTAGCCGCCTTTTATGGCAAGCATGGGTTGCTGAAGATCTTGAAAGTACATGTGTAGTAGAATAGATCTCCAGTACCTTACACTTGTCATAAGAGCTGGGGACAGGAGTAGATGGTACTGCTGATTGTATTCCTTTCAATTATCTTCATCGTTAATTACTCTAGTGATATTTCTGTAAAAAATGTATGCTCTATTGTGCTTAAAATAGAAAGAAATATGTATGATGATAAGAAAGATAACTTACATTTCGCAGCATGAGACACGATATCAGGACATGGAAACTAGCTCGACAACAAGTAATCAAATGTCAGTGGCCAGAGCGCGACAGAACACGACCCCTCCCCCAGAACGTCGAGAATCAGATGCGGCCAACTTGCAGGTGCGACCTAAATCTATGTTTGTCACTGCTAAGGAGTTGAAAGTTCATGATGGAGCATCATATTCACAGGGCAAAGAAAACACCCTACCACAAAAAGCAGCCACAAAAAAGAAACGGCCAGCACCTCCACCACCCCAGCAACAGAAACATGCAGCACCAGAAACAGTTGAAATTTCTGTGAAGGACAAAACATCAGTTGTGATGCATGAGAAGAGAGAAGGTGTTTCCAAGGTTACACCTGACCATGTGACTCAGAGACTTCATTCCCGCAACAGCTCTGATTCAAGCGGATATCATGAACTGACCCTAAGTGGAGCAGAGTCACCTGAGGCAAATCGTGTTTCAACAAATTTCAAAACAAGCATAGACACTACATCCATTGAAAGTGCTGATAACACTAATGGTGACAGTGGTATAAATGAACACTCCCCTGTTCATAGCTCCCCCAAATACACTGAAAGGGCTGCTGGAGATAGCCAAACATTGCCGCATAACAGGTTGGTTAAAAAGCAAGTTCAGCGATCACATTCTCTAGAGAGAAAGGAGATGTCCAACAAAGCACCCCCACCCTCCACGAAGAAGAAGAGAGCCCCTGCGCCACCCCCAGGTAGGTCCCCTCTGTCCTTTTCCATACACACTCACATAACTGACTTCTGGAGGAATTCATTTCCACTATTTGGTACTAGAGTAGTTTTGTTTCATATTCTTTAGCCCAGACTTTCCATTCAGCAATGCTGTTTTTAATATTTCATATATTATGCCAGTTTGAATTGCATTTTTTGTTCAAGTTTCTTGAGCTCAGATCTTTCCTGCCTCAGTTATTTTTATATCTTATGCTGTTTGTAGTGTGTTGTTGGTTTATGCTTGTCTGTACTGTAGATTGAACATGTTAAACTGCAAGTAACGTGAAACATTGGATGTGAATATCAATTTTCCTAGATGCATCAAGTCAATTCTCAATGGGCCAGTGGAGAGTGACAGATGTTTTCATTGGCTGATATGTGGACTTGGTTGCAGCATCTACGTACTTCATAATCTATTTTGTGGTGCAGTTAAATGATACAATACAATAGTCAGTCAATAGCAAGTCTAAAGTGTTTCTATTTCTGTTAATCCTACAAAAGTAATATTGCATCCATTGTTGAGTGTCAAATTGACCTTTGATCTTCACAATGTGAGTACTTTCAATAACAATAAATGTCTGTAACTGGCAGGGGATATAGGAATGGAGTTCTCTGTCCGTCTGTCCGCTCTCAATGTGGACAAATTTTCTCAAAAACTATACAAGTTAGAGAAATGAAATTTTACACACTGATGTTACTGGTCATGATCTCAAATGAGTTAGAAAATTGGTGTTGTACATTCATTGTTTACATAGTTATGGCCCTTGCTTCATGCTTTTCAACTTTGTGCATACTGTGTGAAATTGGGGACACATTTCCTCAGCGACTACTGAAATTACTTGAATGAAAGTGTGCATGCCTATCTAAGAGATACTAATTGTCAAGACTTAGACCAAAATTGGTTCTGTCATTTATGTTTTACAGAGTTAAGGTCCTTGATCCATGTAATTTTGCTTGGTGCCTGCAATGGGACACAAGTTTTCTAAGAAACTTCTGAAGTTAGCTTATCTAAGATATACTGATCAAGACTGCGCTATGTTTTCCAGAGAACCATTTCCATTGAACATGTTGAAGGCTTTATAGGACTTTTTTATAGTTTATATCAGAGACCTGTGTGGGTACCATAAAACACCTGCTGCCCTTGGCCCCATTCCACACAGTAAATGCCAGACGGGGTTTAATCCTCTGACTAGACAACTGAAGGCATCTTCAGTGTTGTCATAACTTGCCAGAATTTTAATCTCTCCTTTATTATTCAACACTGTTTTTATTTTTCAAATTCAATTTTGGTCAAGCATTTGTGATTAAGTATTATAGTATTAAAGTTGCTATGTTGAGATTACTTGCCACAGAACACGTGCAGGCAACTATGGTCGCGAATGGAGGGTGGGCGTGTTGTGCAGTCAAGTGTGTGAGTAGCAGGGAAAGTCAGAGTACCTCTCCATTCCTCAACACCATGGAGCAGGGGGCCGCAGGGTTACAAAGATATTCCCCCACTTAAAATGCATCCCTACTTTTACACTTTGACAAAATATTCTCTTGTGAAAAATATGTGAAAGGTAAACCAAAACTCTTTGTAGTCTGTATTTATACTGCTTGAGTCGCCCTTGAGTGAAGCACGAGGAAAGCGTTCTCTGTCACTGTTGCACATGCACCAAGCTCCGTCGCAAGCTGACATTTACAATTCATGGTACACAGCTCTTCATAATTTTGTGGGGTCCTAAACTAGTATTTTATCAATCGTTTCACATGGTATTTTATCAATCATTTCACATGGTAAAGATGCATGCTGACGGGCATTATAAGCAATATAGAGCCCCAAACAAGAATATTTTAATATATGTTTATCAGAAGGTTTATCTAATTGCTATAAATAAGAACATTGCTCTAGGTAACCTGCTCTAACACAACATTATACAAATATTGTTTTTGAGCTTTTAAGCATTATGCAGAATTTGGAAATTATTTAATAGTTAATGTCACACGATACCTTCATGTGTTGCTGTGGCTCAGAGGTCGACAATTACACATCTTCAAATCAAGCTATGTGGGTTAAAACCCTCTGGTAATACATATTTTGCGTCAAAATTTGTAATTATTCACTTGTCAAAATATTTTTTAAATAGTTACGTCAAATCCAATTGTTGGTTCAAGATGATGTATAATTGACAAACAACTGGAGGTTTAAACAATAGAATGACGTCACAGATGTGTTTTCAGTTTGGAGGACATGACCTCTATATATGGATTTCCCATATTTAGTCTCTGCCCCTTCTGTGTTCTTGTTTCTGTCTTTGAGATTGACAGACAGGACTTATGTGCAAATTAAGCTTATTTAGCTTCAGTGTTATGAATATGATATTTGCATGTTATGATCTATCCATTCTGCAAAGTTGTATGAATACATGGTACTTGCAGATGCTCTTTGCACTTGCTCCCAAACAGACCTGTGTCAGGGTCATCAGCTGTAACTGTTGCAGTTGTTTGCTTTTTTAAGTCTGTAAATATATTTTGGACTATTATTTGAGTTTAGGTTATAAAAAAAGCTGCAGGTAAATAAATTCCATAGTTACACATATATTTTGATTTTTGGTTTATTCTATTTGGGTTTCTTGTTGATATAAACATAATACTCCAGAAATGTTGAAGGCATAAATAGCATATGTAATATTTTTTAAATCTTTAGAGATTGTTAAACTTGTGTGTCATTATTAGGAATAAAAATGAAGTATTAGGCTCGCCAAAGGATCACATAATTATAATATTTCTGACACTTGACTGATGATCTGTATTTATTATTCTTGCACCGGATGGCCATTTTGGTACCCTAGTTGTTATAAATGTGTCCATGCTTGTTTTACCTGCCGAGTTGTGATGGAATATTGCTGAAAGCAACTTAAAACCATCCTTTCTCACTGCCCTCTTCAACAGCATATTGTACTGGTATCAACAAAAGATGAATATTATTTCCAATGTATTGTATACTATGTATGCCTTCAACACAATGAATGACCTATATACAACAAAATATACTATACCAGGCATGTATACCTCTCTCCCCAGTTGCTGAACCCCCTCCCCCCTCCCCATCTACCCCTCCTAGTCACACACCCGAAGCTTCTCAGGACCACACCCTAAGTACCTCACCCCCAGAAGCTAAACAGACGACAAAGGAAACATGTAAGTCCTCTTACGGCATGATATTTATGTTATGTATAGCACGATGTGTAAATATGTAGAATGATATTGTAAGTCAGATTTGTGGCATGAGTTTATCAAAGGAATTTCTCACATTTAATCTTTGCTGTGGCTTCTTTGTTTTGTATTGATATTTTTATGTTACCTTTGAACCATATGCTTGCTGTTACACACAACTGTTTGCTCTGTAGGTTTTAGGTCTGTCAGTATTTATAGTGCATGTGTCATTTCTGTTCTGAACCAAAGGTTCATTTGAGCGAATGTTGTGTTGTCCATTATCTGTCCATTGTAAGCTGATCCAATTAATGTTTGCTTATATATATAAGAACTGGCTTAGAGATTGATTACATGAAACTTTGACTATAATGCTGCCATACTAAAAATGTATTCACAATGCTCAATGTGTGATAATGTACAAATGTAGGAATGTGGTATGGTACTAGACTTTGGAATCATTTTTTAGAATTCTCTAAAACTGTCTGTCAATCATATGCTTTTGTATTAATGGTCCGAACAGTGCCAACAATCCAAAATACAGTACATTAAATAAAGGTGAGCTACAGAGCCTATTCAAGCATTATTTTACATCATTATCTTCTTTTTCATTATTTGCTATGTCCAAATGTTGTGTAAGACTTGAAATTATATGAATATATTATATCCAGAAGATGATGTTATTATTTCTATTTTTCCTTTCCAAATTTTTACCCATTTTCTGTTTCATGTGTTTCTGTCCATATGCAACAGTTTTGTTTTGATATTTCAATTCTTTTCTTCATTTTCAAGGGAGCCAATCAGTTGTTTCAATGGAACATTCCATGAATGAAATATGAAATAATTCCTATAAAACTGCCCATTGGGTCTAATTTCAGCTTCAGTTCCAAAGATACACAAGTGCCAATGTCTGTACCTTATTACTTTGAACATTCAAAAACACCTACTTATGATATAGTTTGAATCATGCTATAGAATGGAAGATTTCTTATGATTATGGAAAGTTATATTATATGAATTTACTGATAATGAATATATGTTCTGCAGGTGGATCAATCATCATTATTAAGTATTCTATCTTTTCTGAACATATCAAATGTGATTCCTTCTTCAGCATCTGGTAATGATGACGAAACTGATGGAAAAATGGATACTGACGATGATGACAGCGAAGATATTAATGAGACATTGGATGGTTTGTTGATGATGGTGGAGGATGACTCTATATGCAGTGAGGATATTGAAAATATCGAGCAGCCAAAAGTGCCACGCCCTTGCTCCTTTGTAGCCCCTCCCCCACCTAGCGAACCCCCACCCCCCACAACTGGGCCGACTGAGACAGTGGATGTTGGTGTAGAGGTTCATGATAATGCCTCTCTCGGCCCATCCAGTGCCAAGAGTTCTCCAGTTGCCGGTGAGTCGCCCTTCCTCATGCTTTCTGTCATCTCTTAACATTTGGTGTGCAACCATCAGTAATACTTGATAGTATGAACAGTACTACTGGATAGGATGATGTCACAACACAGGAAGACTTTTACAAGAATTGATTTAATTCTTTCTGTTTATTTTGAAGATCAAAAAATCATTGATAATATTTTAAAAATACAAGGACTTGGATGAAACTGTACCACATGGTAAATTGTAGCTTGTAAATGAATTTACCTTTAGAACACTGACATACACTGTTTCTAAACTCTTAAATCAAAGAATATATGTGTGTGGTATTTCCCTCTCCTCGAAACATGAAGTATCTTATTACCAAAGGCATATAGTCATTGTGTTTTCTTTTGGGTGTTTTATGTACCCGGAATGAATTGTATCACTAGATTATGAATAGTCCTACCAGTAGTAACACTGTTGTTGGAGCATCGTTGTCTTTGAGAAGATACAGTATCTGAGTCTTGAATTTATGCCTTAAACTCGAGAGGAAAGTTATTTATCCAGAAACTAAAATTCATGTAAAGTATTCTGTAAAACGTGCTGGTTGTCAGACCCCCCAGGAAGACATCCTCAGCTCTTCAGGAACACCTGGTGTCAGCACTGTTTGCTAGAGATTCCTAGACACAATGTCATGTTATTGTTGAAATCGTACCAAGGACCCTGCATTTAGCAGATATTTTTCAGGTTTATGGAAGGTTTTTTGTTTTTTTTATTACTACATCTTCTCAATTTTGTCTCAATTCAATTCTTCAGAAGCAGTCGTTTCATATTTGTCAACTAGATATTGTCTGAATATTAATATTTGGTGCAGCTCACATAAATTTTCCAATTAAAGGAAAGGTAATCTTTTAAATGAAAATCCATGTATAAAACTACACTTGACATAGGATAGTCACTGACAGAACATGTTTGTGTGTTTGTGTATGCAATGATATATTTCTATCCCTTTCTTTCAATCCTTCAATCTTCCTTCCTTCCACAATACAGTCCACACCCATTCCCGGACAGACAGTCTCAGCAGTATAAGTTCCATTAATACTATCGAGGATGTTAACTTGGCGTTTGAACAAACAATCGCCTTGGCAGAGGAAGTTCTCGAGGCAGAGGCCCCAGGTAGTTCACAAGTCCACCACTAGGGGGGCAAGCTTATGGTCCTATTAGATTTGCACTTGTGTGTTGTGGCTAGAGTGACCTCCCTTTAATGTGCTTCTACTGCTTCAATTGCCTGTCTTCACACATCTGTTTCTGTGATAATCCCATTCTATTTCAGCCTTCTCCTAGTGACCTCAACTTCTAATTGATGTGTATTTGAGGAAGTGTTCAGCTGGTTGTTATCTTTGGAATTTTCAGTTCACAAATCAATCCTCGTTATGGGGGCGTCCTATTTCATCTACAGTTCGTTTCATGATCAAAACAAGTGCATTGGTGATTAGAGTGGTAATAAGCTGACCCCTTCAGAAACAGGTCTAGGGGTGGCCCCCTCCCTGTTTATTACATCTGATGACATTTTGTATGCGCATTTCCTACCCTGATTATAATTATTATTAAAATGCTGAATCCGCCCCTGCTTCAAGATTGTCCTCTTCAACTTCTTCCAGATGGCTTGTCAGCTTTATTTCAAGTTTTAATTGTATTTAGGTAGTCCTCTAGTATTATGGAGCTTGGACCTGTCCATTATCAAATGAGGGATGGGATTAACTGGGTGTAGTCGAATCACCTCCACCTTACCACCATTATTATTGTCGAACTGACGGTAGATGAAATGAACTGTAGTCGAAAGAAGGCTGCACCATTATTATCAATTGTGACCAATCTTTTCACTTAATGTCTTGAGACCACTGAACATGTTTATTTGTTCACACAAACTCCATATAAAATAACTGGAACCCTTACTTATGATAATATACATTATGCACTGACATTGAATATTTGAAGATAACTGCACACATTTTGGCCTTTACTTCTTGCTTGTTATTGTCAGCTGCAGAATCACAAGGTGCTGAAACATCTGATTTTGTTGACTCAAGTGTGTTCAGTGGTCTGAGAGAAATCAACATGAAAGAAGCATTACTCTGTTAATATATATGTCTAACATAAAAAAGTTTCCTGTCTTCATTAATGTTGTAATTAATCAAATTTTAATATAATTAGTTTTACATAAACCCTAGACATCCTGTAAGATGCACATTAAACCAACTAATCTAGTTTTCACATTGAGAGTATGAGACATTATGACTGTATTGTATCATGATAAGTTTGTAGTTATCTGTCATTTTGACTTGTTGTTTGGAGTTGCACATTTACACAATTTATGTCATGAACATTGCTTTTTCTGTAACACAGTAGATGCTGTTAAAGTGAACTATTTTGCATTTGTTTGTTCTGGTAGCTTTATTAGATAAAAGTGCTTCTGACTGAGAGATGTTGAAATAGTGTACCCAGTGTAGTTGGCTTTGGGAATAGATAGAATCCTTGTTTTTGCATGTTTCCAGATTTGCCTTACTAAGTTTTCAACAATATTTTTATCAAAATTTATGAAATTTATAAAATTGTGAAATAGTGCCATTGAAAGAAATGCTTCAATTTAGTTCTTATAAATTTGTTCCATTACACACATATTCTGAATAATTTCTGGAGACTTTTTTCATAAGACTGCAAATTTTAAAATGGTTGTGACTGACACCATCACATGTATCATAGATACTTTCAGTTCGCATAAAATATGAAATTGTTTATTTGTATTAGTGTATTCCTTCATAAAAATTACAGTTCAGTTTTTATTTGAAAGGATTTGAATCAATTTGTCGCACACAATCTTAATTCTAATGCATAGTGTCATTAAATGATTGACCTAAAGTGGAACTACTGTTAATCAAAAGCAAACTCTCACATGCTTTATACTGATGATAACTTCGTATTTCAGCAGAGTCAGGCTACAAGTCAGAGATGGCAATTTTCGTGGAGCGTATGAGTAAGCTTACAGAGAAGGCAGACTCAGAGAGCAATATGTCCGACACGACTAGCATCTCACTCCCGGATACAGAGAGTAACTCTGAGACAGGGTCTGTGATTCGACACGACCAGGATGGGAGGCCATTCCATGCCAAGATGGATTCCTATTCCTCAGACTCTGGTTCAGTGCAGAAATATGACAGTGAAGACCGATCCCATGGAGGGTCAGCTACAGATGCCAGTAGCTATGATGATGTTCCAGTAACAAATGCACAGCAATCACGTTCTAGGCGGGATTCTCTTGAAATTCACCGTGAAAACATTGTTGCAGATAATGAAGTATCGGAAATTGATGTTCCCATGGAAATGGTTCCTCCACCAATTGAGTTCAGAAATGATCCTCAGGAGGAAGGAGCAAGGGAAGAAGAAATGCAAGAGGAAGAGGAAGAAGAAGAAGAAGAATATAGAGAATCAACAGAAGAAATAATTATAACAATAGCACCTTCAAGTGGTTTTACTTTTGCCGGTGCTAACAAAATCCCTGACTTGGAAACACCAAAAGAACATTCAAGTTTACCAGACTCTCCTCGATTTTGTGTTGCCGAACCTTCATTATCTTACAGTAGAATGGAAACAGATCCGAATTCTACAAATTTCTCTGAACCTAAGCCTCAGACGGATGTGAAACCTCCAAGAGTGAAAGAAGAATTTGTACTGACACGTGAAGATTTGTCTAAGATAAAATATGTTGAAGAAAGCAAATGGAGATCAGAGCCATATGTTCAGCCAGCAAGAAGGCCAACATCACTGAGTAGTTTGACTCAGGTGTATCGGGATGAGCAAGAACCTGCAGTGTCCTATGCATCATTTCAACCAAGTTATTCTAAACCTGAAAGTATTCAAGGATCCAGGTCTGAAGAGGACAATGTTAAAACAAGATGTTCTGAACTGAGCTTCAGACCTGATTCTGAGGGGGAGATTGATAATGTCCTTGAAGAGAAATCAATTTCTATGATTGCATTGCCAGCCATGAGAACAAGTGTCCTAAAGAAGTCTGATGAGGAATATTTGACCACTTTAAAGCAGGAATCCTACCAATCATTAGTTCAGGACACAATGTCATCAGGTGATCGTGAAATGAGAAGCAAGTTCTTTGATGATGATGAGGAGGATGCAGAGACTGAGATTTTAGAGCAGTTAGGGAAGGTGTACATTTCAGAGAGAAGTGAAGATAAAGGAACTGTAGAGGAAGAAAATAAAGAGATAACAAAGCAACAAGCTGCACTCCAGTCTCAGTATGCAATTCTACAGCAACAGTTTTCTATGTGGCAACAACAATTGAAACAGAACCAGGACCTCCTAGCCAATCAACACATTGACCCAGAAGTCCAGAGCATGCAGGAGATTCAGATCCAACAAATGCAGCAACAGATGCAGATACAGCAGCAGATGATGTCACAGCTGGAGAAGAGCATGGAAGTACTGGCTCTGCAGAAGAAGCCCAAGTCAGAGCAGCCCTCAGCTGTTGCTTCAGAGTCAGCATCGGTTGTAGTGGCATCATCCGAACGTTCAGGACAAGGTGCAGGTAGGTCCTCAGTACCCACACCCCCTCCACCACCTCCAGTGACAGTTGTGAAGAAGACTGCTAACTCTGGGAGAGTTAACAAGAAGGATGACCCCAGGTTTCAGAGGAAGTTAGACCCTCGTGAGGAGCTCATGATAGCTATAAGAAGCTTTGGAGGAAGAGGTAAACTCTCGACTGTAAGTTGTTTATCTTAATGTTTTTCTGATTACCTAAAGCACGTTTGAAAAGCAAACCATGTAATCATATTTTACCCTAAATAGACCGCATGGATGTCAGATGATAATATCATAATGTTAACAGATAATTCTGTTGCTGGGCTGAAAATTAGAACTACTTTGGTCTTAAGAAGTCCTTTAGGTTTGAGTTGTAGTTTAAAGAGTAAACAATGTGAAGAGTGATTATGATCATATAATAGATTCATTCCGTAATGCTACTTGTTCTTTTATATACAGATTTATTTGATTATTTTCTTCAGGTACCAATCCAAAACACACACTGGCAAGGAGGGTCTTCATGAGTGGGTACTCTGGCAGAGAATCAAATGCCAACCAGTGCTATGATCAAAAGGTCAAGGTCACACAATGCCAGAATATTTTACATTAATTGTATATTTCATTCTGTTCTGACAAAGCCAAATTTATACATACACTTTGTCAAATTACTTGAAAAGAGTGAGGGCAAGTTGCAAGGTACAAAACATGGTAACATGTTCTTGTGTAGACTCATTCAGATGAGATGAGTGGTTGAGGTAATTCTCTGTTATTACCAAATAAGGTGATTGCTTGAGTATTGTATTAATTATATATGAAACAGATTGCTGTTTATCATTATACCATCTTAGACAGTACTAACTAAACAGAAAATGTGCTACCAAACTGCTGGCAGGAGATACACCAACAGAGGTGAGCCTGTCCTGTGGGCACACTGCGCTGTGAGGAGACAATGTAGAGGACATACAGGGGGGTGCAGGACCTCTGTTCTGAAGCCACCTTGTCTGTTGTGTTGCATGTCCTAATAAAATGATTTCAAGGGCAGGATTTGGGAGACTTTCTACATCTTCTGAACTGTATACATTCCAACAAAGAATGGCTTGTGACCAGGGATACTGGATGATGAAGCATTGAGCACTAAAACTGCTCCAGCTAGTTTTTATGGCTGTGCCAGATGATCTAAACTTTCATAAAGCTTGGTGATACATCTGGGAGCATGAGTGTTGAATGTCCTTATCAGCTTGTGTATTATATAAGCTGGTCAATGATGGAGTGTTGAGTGAAAGAGGCTTGTACTACAGGTAGCAGTATCCGGCAGATCTGTTACTTGCAGTGAGCATGTCCATCAGTGACAAAGCAATGTCTGAAAATAAGAAAACAAGACACAATATGTGTAAACCAGGTTCAAGGTACTCTACCACCAAGTCGTCGCAGAGTGTGCTTGATCTGGTGAATAATGCTTTTGATGAACTCATCTTTTAATAAATATGTTTTCATGGTTGCTTAATGTTTGGTGCAAACAAGCTAAAGTTTGTTTGTGGTTATATATATACAAATACAACAGTTATTGTGGAACGCACAAGGCAGGGTTGTGTGAACAAAGGGAGGTATACTAGGTATCCAGTTTACTGTTTATGCAGCCGCATCCAGATAATGCAGCTAATGGGCTAAGAGGCCATGTTTACAGTGTAAATACAGTTGAAACCGTGAAGTGTTACAACCTCTGAGCTATGGAAAAATTATATTTGAATAAAGGACAGCATTATTTCTGTATCACCGATATATACTCTGTTCCTGTTGTAACTTCATATAGGGCATATATATTTCAGTGTAGACTTTAGAGGATTATCTACAAGAACATTAAGCATTAAACCATTGTTTGGGTATGAACTATGAGATTTAAACAATTTGTAGAATGTAATTTGTTACTTATAGCAATAGAGACAACTGCCTAAATTTTTTACTCTTTTTAAAACTGGTAGATATTATGTATGATAGAAGCGGCAGTTCTCATGGGTACAAAATGTATAGGTGAAGTAGGTATTCTAGGGTCCATGTTCCAGTTGTTACTCTTTACATTTACATGACTACAGCAATATATGTCTTTACACCTGTGTGTGTCATTTAGCAGAACTGTTTCAAATCATAAATGGTGCTTAACACACACACACATCATTTCTGCACTATCCCCAGTTTATCATTTTTTATTTGACAACTAGATTTGCCATCCATGTTGACAAAAGCCCTCCAATGGTGAGACAATAGTTACATTCAGCTTGGACAGAGGGGACTGTAGAAATGACAGCCTTTGTTTTCTACTTGGATCATGGCAACTACCTGCTCTAATCTTTTAAATGAAAATATTTTGCTTTTTTCTCCCAACTTAATAAACTGTTCTTTTCAATCTTGGGCTTAGCCTTAAAAATGTAAGAGTTTGGACGAATAGAAACTGAGAAGTAGAATGAGAACCTGTTTGAATTGTTGTTGACTGCATTATCCAGTTCAGCCAATCTCGAGGGGTATGTGGTGTGATGTGCCCTGTGTGTTAGCCAATGTACCCTGATCTCCGAGGGATTGACCACAAATCTATCTCACCAACATTCATCCATACAGACCCAGAATATAGTTTCACGAAGTAAATTGCTTTGATTCAGCCATTTTAACAGCTAGCAGACGACGCAAACAAACCTAGTTACTTCCCTTAACTCAATGCATTCGGATAAACATCACTACATTTTCATTTCAACGATAGTCATGCAGGATAAGCATGTTCCAATTGATTTCACAACAGGGTATATGAGCAGGCTACACGAGCTGGCTGCATGGATTATATTTGACCCTCCTTAACCAATCAGAAGCTAGTATTTTAATGTAAGGTGAGACTTAACTCTTGTCCAGTGAAGAAGACAAGACAGTTCATTTGTGCAAATGCATTTATTTTTATTCTTCTTCCCACTGGGTCCTAGCTGGATGTGTCACTGATCCAGGTACTAAACAGGGCTGTTGAATAGCCTAATGTGGTGTTCCCACAAACAACACGATGTTTACACACTAATGTTGGGATGGCATGTCTTCATTTAACTGATTGTTGCTTTATCAGGTTTTCATATGTCCAAAGTTGATTTTATGAGTAAACTGATTCTTTAGCTTAGAATATTTCATGTTGACTGTCTATTTATTTTGTGCAATTATCCTAGATGTGATCCTTTGTGCCCCTGCTCAATATTTTTACCCCGGCATCAAGCTTCTAATGAGATTGTCACACAAGATCTTCAGGGTAGTAGACAAACAGGACATTTCTACTTATCTACATTATACTGTAAAAGTAATTTGATATTTCAGTATTCAAAAGAATATTATTTGTCTTCAATAAATTCCATTTCTCCCCCAAAGTACACACTGTTTGATGATGTTATGCTTTGACCAGTGTTACTTTGGTCCATCATTGAGTCTACCAAATAGCTGTGAAAATAGCTTTTGAACTTATGTTGAACTTGCTTTATGCTTGAATGATACTTCAGAATATGAAAAGGTTACCAAAATTGTTGTTTCTACATGGGGCTGATATGAAGGAACTCTACTTCAAGATTGAAGTTCTCTTTTACCAACTATTGTGATTTAGACATCTGCACAAAATGGTTGTATAAGGCAGTGTCCAAGACTTTCCTCATGGTGACACTAGGAAGGCTGTATGAAGCAGTGTCCAAGACTTTCCTCATGGTGACACTAGGAAGGCTGTATGAGGCAGGGTCCAAGACTTTCCTCATGGTGACACTAGGAAGGCTGTATGAGGCAGCGTCCAAGACTTTCCTCATGGTGACACTAGGAAGGCTGTATGAAGCAGTGTCCAAGACTTTCCTCATGGTGACACTAGGAAGGCTGTATGAGGCAGGGTCCAAGACTTTCCTCATGGTGACACTAGGAAGGCTGTATGAGGCAGCGTCCAAGACTTTCCTCATGGTGACACTAGGAAGGCTGTATGAGGCAGTGTCCAAGACTTTCCTCATGGTGACACTAGGAAGGCTGTATGAGGCAGTGTCCAAGACTTTCCTCATGGTGACACTAGGAAGGCTGTATGAGGCAGTGTCCAAGACTTTCCTCATGGTGACACTAGGAAGGTGGTATGAAGCAGTGTCCAAGACTTTCCTCATGGTGACATAAGGAAGGCTGTCTGAGGCAGTGTCCAAGACTTTTCTCATGGTGACACTAGGAAGGCTGTATGAGGCAGTGTCCAAGACTTTCTTAATGGTGACACTAAGAAGGCTGTATGAGGCAGCGTCCAAGACTTTCCTCATGGTGACACTAGGAAGGCTGTATGAGGCAGTGTCCAAGACTTTCCTCATGGTGACACTAGGAAGGCTGTATGAGGCAGTGTCTAAGACTTTCCTCTTGGTGACACTAGGAAGGTGGTATGAGGCAGCGTCCCAGAATTTCCTCATGGTGACACTAGGAAGGCTGTATGAAGCAGTGTCCAAGACTTTCCTCATGGTGACACTAGGAAGGCTGTATGAGGCAGCGTCCCAGAATTTCCTCATGGTGACACTAGGAAGGGTGTATGAGGCAGTGTCCAAGACTTTCCTCATGGTGACACTAGGAAGGCTGTATGAAGCAGTGTCCAAGACTTTCCTCATTGTGACACTAGGAAGGTTGTATGAGGCAGTGTCCAAGACTTTCCTCATTGTAACACTAGGAAGGCTGTATGAGGCAGTGTCCAAGACTTTCCTCTTGGTGACACTAGGAAGGTGGTATGAGGCAGTGTCTAAGACTTTCCTCTTGGTGACACTAGGAAGGTGGTATGAGGCAGCGTCCCAGAATTTCCTCATGGTGACACTAGGAAGGCTGTATGAAGCAGTGTCCAAGACTTTCCTCATGGTGACACTAGGAAGGCTGTATGAGGCAGCGTCCCAGAATTTCCTCATGGTGACACTAGGAAGGCTGTATGAGGCAGAGTCCAAGACTTTCCTCATGGTGACACTAGGAAGGCTGTATGAGGCAGAGTCCAAGACTTTCCTCATGGTGACGCTAGGAAGGCTGTATGAGGCAGTGTCTAAGACTTTCCTCATGGTGACACTAGGAAGGCTGTATGAAGCAGTGTCCCAGACCTGGTTAGAACATATTACCTGATGGCCCAACATCATAATGTTAATAATTTCTTCACCATCTTAGAAATATGATATTATTTGTTTATGTAGTGCAATAGTACTGAAGAAAATGTATATATCATTTTGATACCTTTGATTTTCTTATTGGAATCAGATTTTCAAGGTTTTCCTAAATTATGAAACTACCTATGATTACTCATAATTAACAGATGTTAATGAAAATAAGATGTTTCTACTTCAGCATTAAGGACTTAATAATTTGATTTTGTGATATTAAAATTATCACAAAGTTTATTTTATTCATTTATATTATATCTTTTATAATACCAGGAATATTGTTTGAAAAGGTCAGTGGTGTGTATAATCTAGAACTTTGATATTAGTTATATTTTATCCTACCCCACTTTAAACTCTCATCACAATCGTTATGCATAACAATTATGAAAACAAATATATTTAATCACAATTTAATTAATTATGCCACATTACATAACTTAATACTGAATGTACGTGATGAAAATATGTTCCCATAACTCAATATGCCGTGAGACTTGGAAGTAATAGAATAGGCTGAACAGGTTTTACAGATATGCATTGAAATGCTCCATTTATCACTTACCAGATCCTTAGTCAGCTAATATATTAGATAGACAGCTATAGTCTTCCAGTTACTCTCCAGACAGAACCAATATGTATATATAGGTATTCATATAGATGTATGTACAAAATAGCTTTAGAAGTCACCTCATGAAAGAATCATGAAAATAAAACAACATTGTTGAACTGACACTGGTATTGTGTTGAAAACTTGTAGTATCAAGATGGCTGCAAAGGCATTAATTTTGTTATTTTTGGACTTGAATGTAAAATGAAAACCCAAACCTGCAAGTAGTAATTGTTTGTTATATAATAATTCCACTTTTGACAGTAATACTGAGACTATTCCTACTGTTCCTGTGTACAAACACAATATGCTTATCAAACATTTAGCAGACTCTAATTATACATGTTCCAGCATGTACTGCAGAATTAAAAAATGTGAAAAAATTGTGAAATCAAAATCAGAAAGAGTTTATATTGTTTTCTCTGCCATTACAATTAATACAGTTGTTAGCTCGGAAATATCCCACAACACCAGTGTATGAAGAAATCAGTTCCAGTTTCAAGGCAGGGATATGGAGCTACTGTGCTTGCATTGCTGTCGTTCATGTCTTTCATCTCCCTCATTGCATAATGTCAATGTTGATATCGGTGTCTCTCATGGAGATTTGTAGATTCTGTGTATATTACTGTATCTGTCCTGTCCATGTGTTTTCTATTGAATATACCATGTAATTAACAACAGTTGTATGTATGCGCAAAATCTACATAAATATAGGAAATTGTACCTTGTTCTGGGTGTTGTTTTTCCAATTAGGAAGATGAGGCCACTCTGGGTGTTGTTTCGTGGATTTTATGTTATTCATTTGTCTTGACTTCTGACCCCATGTGGTGACCTCCAGCTATATCATGTCATGATACAGACAACAGAAGGAATGAAATCTTGGAGACTTTATTTCAAATCCTTCACAGATACAATACTACTGATGAAGATCACTGAAAGGTATATTTTCCACAAATCTCCGAATCATGTCAAATGATCTAGCTGGCTGGTCATGTGGCAATATGTGGCCTCCATCACGCACAACTACCTGAAATTGGAATCCCAACTTTTTTAAATATGTTCATTGTAAGTACAAACTGATACTCATCATTAAATGCATTACGAACCATTTCTGTTGATCATGTACAACACTGGCTGTCTAAAGTATAACACCAACTTCCCCAAGTAACACCTCCTCACCATTTGTCAGTGGAAGAAGCTGCAACATGGACGTTCAGAAGAAGTCATTCACATGATTCAGTCTTAGACTACTTACAAGTTGGGTATTGTTTTTTTGTTTGTTTGTTGTTGTTGTTGGTTGGTTTTTTTTGGGAGGGGCGGATTATGAATTAGTGCAAGGTCAAAAAGTATGTCTGATCATGGATATCAATTAATGTGCATCTTCATGTACTAATATCCAAGATCTCATCCTCTTGGTGGGCAAGGCTGTGTTTGAACATACCTGGTAGAAGTTGTCCACCTGTCTCACATAGCCAGCCACCTCTTCATCATCAGCATTGACCTTCCACACTGTCCTCTGGGCAGCCTTGTATGCCTGCAGCCCCCGCCAGTCCACAGTCTGCAGCATGGCCTCGGTCAGAGGGTTGGCCACAATGATGTCCAGTTGCCCATTGTACAGCATTACCTTGTACAAACAGGAGAGGAATGAAGACCAGGGTCGTATATATAAGACATTGCAGTTCTCATTGTGGAGTTCCTCCCTTTAGCTGTGCCAGAGTTCAAATCCCCAAATTGTCCTGAATATGATTATGTATTTTCAGCACCAGGGTAATACATTACTTTGCACTTTCTCCCAAATTAAGCCAGCATGCTGTAATGTAAATGATACTGGCCATAAACCCAGCTCACACTATGCGGGAATAACAGCAGAAGATATATATTTGCATCTTCATGTGGTTATATTTAAATTTAAGTTGTGTTCATAGAAATTCATGCATTCTGATTGGCTGAGTTGGTTACTTGTTATTGCATTCATTTCCCAATGATTGTAAAAAATTAAGCCACCCCCACCGAGGCGGACTACTTTTGTTACTACGGAGAGTCGGAGATTCCTAATATTACAGTCGAGGGAATTCCCTTGCTGCTTAAGAGTTACGTCATGCACAGGACATTTAGCAAAATCCATGCATATTCATTGTCCAAACAAAACCTTTTGAGACCGAAGGCCGAGAAGGAATGAAACAGCAAATATGCAGGCTCGCTCGCCTGTTTTTACCGCTCGACTCGGTTCCGCAACTTCTTCGGGTTTCATCTCTAACTAGCATTTTTCCAACTGTATCTTTCCTTTTCTCAGGGAACGAATGTTTGTATCTGGCGGTAATTGATCATGTCATTTGAAACAGCCACCTTCTCCCGAACATATTTGTTCCGGCTCATTACAGTCTGACTGTTGCAGTTCTTCTCACCCCTTGCCTTGATTGACAGGTCCTATGAACTTTGTTTTTATCATGCTCTCCGTTGAATGGCTACTGTCTTGGTAGGCGTGTCAAGTTGCTCTGCGGATTCATACAGTTTGCACATCGGTTTTTCCGTATCATATCACAATGAACCGACAAATATATATACACACACTCTTGAAAATCACATGCGTGAAACCTGTTGAGTAAATTCTACAGCTCATCTTTGGACTTTTGTATTTTATATATATAAATATATATAACTCAACTGTTTAGAAGTTGCTTACAGTTAAGAATACTATGTGGATGACAACTCCTTTATTTATTATGATGCGATGTTTCGGTATAGAACGTGACACCCTTGTCACGCAAGAGTGACACCTTTTTTGCATATAACTAACAATACTTTTCTGGAGCATCTACAGTTCAAGTTAATCATTATATATATTCACACGCAAAAGAAACGCAAGTGGTTTTAAGCAAATAGGTAACAAACACGGAAGCATAAATTGATACGAGTTTTAGCATGTAGTGAAGCCTGATGGTGTTATCAATATTTTTGGTTGCATTTTGGAAGCCCCGAGTAAAAACGCAACATAAAAAACGAATCGCCAAAACGCACCATTTCAATGAATATGTGGGTATCATGCACCCATTTCTCGCGAAATCGAAAATGCACGAACTGTAGTGGCTATAAAACTCTGGCCGATTCTTGGACCTACCACTCCTTGGTCAACAATGCCTCGCCTAACTCAAATTCAGAGAAACCAGGCTATCGGACGTTTGGAAGCTGGAGAGTCTGTCCAAGATGTTGCCCGTCATTTCAACGTTAACATAACCACAATTTACCGTCTCCTGCATCGATACAATGCTAAACAGACCACAGATGACCTTCCTCGGAGCGGTCGTCCTAGGGTCACCACATCTCGACAAGATTGGCAGATTACCCGTCAACACCAGCGACATCCGTTCCTAACTGCAAGTGAAAGTGCTCGACAGACCATAGGAACACATAATCGACACAATAGCCGGGATACTGTGATCCGACGTCTCCGTTCCAACAACATTAGATGTCGCCGACCAGCACGTCGTCCTGTTCTCCAACCACGGCATCAACAAGCACGACAGGGTCATCACAATTGGCGTCATCGTGAGTGGAGGCGTGTCATCTTCTCTGATGAAAGTCGCTTTTATGTCTCCCATGCAGACGTAGTCCAGGCAATCTAGGCCATTTTTTCGCTGAACTTGGAACAAATTGCAACAGAATTTATTTTACCACAATGCACTTCTACAAGGTCCCGAAAACAACATTTAAAGTCCCAAGCAATCCCAGTTTGGGAAATATGTCTAATTTGCATAATCCAATATGGCCACCAATTATCAATATATCTTGCATATGTCAGATGAGGGTCAATGTTTTGATGGAAAAAAACATGTGTTGTCTTGCGAAATATCCATGTTATGTTTCTAAAAAGATATTCACAACTCCTGAACGTTTTCGATTATTGACAAATCTGCAAAAAATCAAGATGGCCGCCAATTTCAAGATGGCCGCCAAGTTTCCTAAATGTGTGTTTACACTGTTGAATCGTTTATCTCTAAAACAGTGTGCTAGGGCTTATATGCATATACCTTGGCACACTAACTCACTGAAGTGTAGTTAACACTTTTAGATAAGAAATTCCGTCACCAGAGCCCCTTGGTGGCCTAAACATTCCAAGATGGCCGCCAAGAGTTTGATGGCTAGACATAGAATGTCAAGACACTGTTGGTCTCTGATGACATATTTGAGTGAATTGAACTTCTACATTGAGGTAAACAGACCAAAGGATGTATGTAGAATACTCAATCATTTGAATAAATCCAATATGACCACCAAATATCAATATTTATCCCTTAAATGACATGTTTTGGCGAGTTTAGATATCAATGTTGATTGTTATTGTCTGAATCTACTTATTAACATGACAATAAAGGCTATAACAAGTTGTTTCGTTTTCATTCCTGTAAATACTTGTTGGAAACAAGGATGACCTATATGAGGTCCTCTCAGAATTTACCCCAAACCAGTTGTTTCACAAGAAGTCGATGAGTTTTCTCTGTTGTAGTTCATTTGCTGAAATTCAATATAACCACCAAATACCAATATTTGAATATAAATCTGAAACTTCATATCCACTGCGCATTCCGTCACATGATTGTGTGATCCATGAACATTATTATTTGATGAACAGTGGAATAAATGTCACAGTGAATGCTGCAGCTTGACGTTGCAGGGTCATTATATACATGTACACTACTGCCTAGAAGTTCATTCCCCTTACACGCATGGGCAACGCGTTACGCAACTAGTGTGCATCGGGTTGGTCACGCGTGTGAGACCCGTGTGCAACGCGTTGCACACGGGTGTGCACCCCGTCCGCCACTCGTGTGCAACGCGTGACACACTCATTAGAGGGGGAACAAACTTTTGACCAAAGGAGGACCCGTCTTAAGCTGAACCTGGAGGTGGTAACAAGGAGAGAAAATTTGGTTATCCTGACGAAAAATGATAATACACATGTATTTCCTAATGTCTCCTTTCTTTATGTGATTTTGTGGGAATAACATGAATACTGTTGCGATTAAATAGATCTGTTTTGTTTTATACGACCATTGCTTCTAAATCCGATGGTGTTAAGAGAATACATGGTCCTGGAACATGTTATTGCAATTGAAATGCTTTTATTGTGATTTGACATTAACCGTCTGTAGTACGACTTTCAGTGATAATATGTATGAGGTTTGGCGGCGCATTGTTTTTATTGGACCCTAATTACTTTATGATGACTTGGACTCTTTATCACAGCTCCATAGCCGTGAGGCTGGAAAAGAGCAGCATGTAATTAATGAGGGTGGGTTATATCATTGAGGATACACTTGAGGGAGAGAATACTAATTACCGTACTACAGGAAGAGACCTGTAGAAGTAAGCGCGGGGTTGTGTTTTAGCTGGCCGTTTGATAATGGCCGCCAGGAGAAGTGAGCTTTGCCTGCATCATCTAAAATAAATAATAAGATACAGCAGTGTTATTTTCACGGTCTGTTGAATAAACTCCCAGCGCAACGGTCAATGTATCTTCTACTTGATCCTTGATACATCATTTTGTCTTTCACAATATATAGTATTTCAACGTACAAAGGACACTGATCTTAAGCAATTCCGCGGGAGTAGTTGTTACCTGTGCATTACTGTATTTTCCCAGTGAGTACCCGGATGATATAGCAGAAATCTAGACTTGTTCGCGACCTGTGCTCGCCATTCGTAAGCGCATTTTAATTGAAAGTATAAGGACGTATGGTCACACTGATCAACAAAAATGAAATACAGTTTTTGAAATGTAGGTATATTTGTGGGGAGCATCGGTAATGGTGATGCAGTTTTGATAAGTCACTTGCTTGGTAATTGTGATCTTCGTGTACACTATTTTGACTTGCAACACAGAGTAAATATTTCACTGAACATTGCTTATTTTACCGTGTGTATATGTTTACATTCAAAATGTAAACAGATTTCACTAAGGAAATGTATTAAAACGCCTAAATATTCAGTTTATTTTACAAATTAACTGAAAAATATGTCCATCTTTATTAATATGATAACGAATTCCAAATATTTGTTTATGTTTAATACCATCACCAAGTACAGTTCTGTATTGTTTGGCTTCTTTTCTTAGCATAATTAATATATTGTGATGTGTTTAAGCTCTCTTGGTCGTCTTTATCATTTTTAGTCAGTCGGTTAAATAAATGAATGGATTATTCAGTCAATTTGTAAAATGACTTAAATATTTAGATATTTAATAAATTGCCTGAGTGAATCATATTTTACACATTGACTGTAACATATACACGCTTACAAAAGAAAATACTTGTGAAAACACCGTCTATCGCGCATCGAAAAACTTCCCAACCAAACGGAAAGGAACAAGAATGATTCTGTTCAAAGCTGCAGCGAATGAATGAAAACAAAATGCAAAAATCATTATAACAACCTAACAAAGTTATAATGTATCCGGGAATATCAACATACAGGAACAATATCCATTGCGTCTGCAGCTGTACAAAAATACTTATTCGATGTAAAATGTCTATGTGAGAATCAAATACTTTAATAATTATTATTTGGAGACAATATTTGGAATATATATGAAATATATTAAAATATTTAAATATATCGTTTTTAAAC